TGGCATGAGGGAGCAAAGAAGTTTTCCTATGCGAAACCGATGTGTAAAGTTAGCCTCTGTAAAACAAGAATTTATCTTAGTTTTTCCCTATGAAACAGTTCTACCTGTTTTTGAAGCACCATTTTTTTTTCTTTTTTATTTACTTTGCCTGACTTTCTGCACTTTGAAATGATTGGGAAGAACATTTTGTTTGCTTGTTTGTTTTTTATCTTAAAATCAGAGGAGGTTCTATTCATGTCAGAAAGTTTCAGTATGCAAGGTATTAAATCACAAACACTAAGCCTTTTTTTACTGACTTGGGTAAGACTGTGAATGTATATATTGTACTCTAATCTGACAAAGTAAAGTATGCTTTTTAGCATGGCCACACAGTCTGGAACCATATGTGCTGTATTTTCTTATCTTACTTTCCTCCTTCCTTGCCTTTGGGTCACTACATCCCCAGTCCTCTTTACTGTCATCTACAAAACTCGCTATTGTCTGTACAATTGGCTCTCTGCCCTGCGCTGTTCGGCAGGGGTTGGCAAACTATATTCTGTGGTTCAAATTCAGCATGCCACTGATTTTAGTAGAGGAAGTGTTATTGGAATAGAGCCAGGTCCATTCATTTACACATTGTCTGATTGCTTTAAATCTACTTTTCAACTGTTGAGTACAGGCAACAGAGACTGAATGACCCACAAAGCCTAAAAATACTTACTGTCTGGTCTTTCATAGAAAGTGTGCCATTTCTGATATAAAGTTCTGCTCTTGATCCCAAAGTAGCTGGATGTCCTTGGTAAGCCATCTTGTCTTTCCTGCTCTTTTAAAAATGAGAAGGTTGAACTAGCCAGCTTCTCCAGGGTGATGGGATTCATTCAGCTTGGCACAACTGGCAAGACTTATAGTCCAGACTAAACCCAGTTCTGCCTGTGGTTCTCGGTTCTCTCCAGAACACCAGGCGCTTATTTGTATGCTGCAATCTACTCTGCATATTTAATTAGTTTATTCTAACTCATAGTTACTATCTAGGTATTTAAGTCGCTTGGGAGAAAGACAGTTAAGCTGTAATATGAAGGATAAATAGGAAATGAAAGTGAGGAGAAAAGTGAACACGAACTTTTGCCAGAAATAGCATTTTCATCCACATCGCATTGCCTTAAATTTTAACATTTTCCACTCATTTGTGAAACATTAAGAAAGAAAAAATACTACAATTCACTTGTGATACACTCTTACTATGAAATGTATGTTGACTTCAGAATCTGAAAAATGTACTTTTGGAAAAAGTACTATCAATGAAATATACCATGATGGTACCTCTGGAGAAAGCCAATGTGATTACAGAAACAGGACTAAAAGAATCCTTAATATGGGAAGAGATAAGAAGGGGCTCCCTTAGGTAGATATACTCCTAAGTATTTTATTCTTTTTGTTGCAATGGTGAATGGTATTGTTTCCTTAATTTCTCTTTCTGTTTTCTCATTGTTAGTGTATAGGAATGCAAGAGATTTCTGTGTGTTAATTTTATATCCTGCAACTT